GATACAATGTCCCATCGATCTGCTCTGGTAAGTGTCGCTCTTCTGCTTTGCTGCCCGCCGAGCTGTGGGCACGCCGTGGGCGCGCACTCTGTCACTGCGGCTGCCCGGCTGCAGCGCTGAGCCTGGCTGGCAGCAGGAGGGCTGGTATCCTCCACTGCATCCCTTTCTTACGCTATCAGTCACTGGGACAGAGGGTGATACAATACACAGGCACAGGAATGCTTTTTTTTTTTTTAAATGAATTTTTTTAAGAAACTGCATACATCAGAGACAAACAATAATTTAAATACCATGCAGTTTCAGTATGTACAAAAACTAGGACATAGAGATCCAGTTTAATTTTTTTCTAGTTATTTACATCGTTTTCATACAGCCATAATCTGTTAAATTACAATACTGGAAGAGCACATGATTGACAGCCACCACACTCACTCCTATACAAAGACAAACTATATACATACACTTGGATATCAACTGGAAAATGCAACTGGTGCGGGAGTACCCGGGACACATGGGAATGCAGGTAACGTGCCCGTCACCGCCTCTGTGTTTACAGAAGTTGTTCCAAGCTCGAGCAGACTGAACACCTGGGAAAAATCATTTGTCCCCTTTTCCTTTCCTGATTTTTTTATTAGCCTTGTCATCTCCCATGGCTATTTATACAAAGTGATTTTATTTGCAGGCACGGTAGGGAGCCCCTGTTCACATATAGAACTGGGTTTCCATCTCGCCCATTTTTTTTTGTGAGTGCGAGCTTTCACTAGGCATCTTGGAAATGCTCCCCCTCTGTTGGTTTATAGTGTTTCCACTGTACAGACGGCACTGTAGAAGTAACGAAGGGTGAGTTTGGTGACTAGTTGCAGTGATAACAAAGTGCTGTGGTTACACAGAAGTATTAGGCTCAAATATATCTGTGTAATGGGCTCACTAAATAGTCTCACTTAACATAAAATAATTAAAAGTCTATTATATTCTTTCCCCCTCCTTCCTTCTCTTCTGGTACGTGCACGCTAGGAATCATCCAGACACAAACGCTGACCTGAGCCCCAGCCCGGCAAACCTGCAGCCAGAAACTTCTTCACCTTGCAAGTACCTCACCAGCGGGGCGCAGGATGGGGAAAGGCCCCAACGCTGACCTTCCCTGGTAGTCCTAAACACATCGCCAGGTCCCTATAGCCCACGTCTCGTGAGGGTGTGGGTGGGAGGGTGATGCCACCATTGTGTTTCCTCACCATCACTTCCCCCCCTGCCCCCTATCAATCAAAGCTTTTGTCCAAACATTTTGGAGTTGCCTTTCCAATCCCCACCTCCTCCTCAGCCCCTCTAGTTTCCAGGTCATCTTTCCATAGGCTGTAGAACAGATGTCACCATACTTGGACATTTTAAGTATGAACAATCCATTAGGATTCAACAGATTATAACCACAATGTTTTTCTTCCTTGACTCTACAGTATTATCCCCATTATCAGCCCTGGAATTGGATGATTAGAATAGCCATTTTTGTTCTGCATTGGTTTTTCCATTCTCTAAACCTGATGCAATTTCTTTATTACTACTATTAATCTCCTCCTAATATGACTGAGGATGAGAGGTGTTAACTGCAGTATTAACTGAGTCTTAGCAGAAATGTTATCATCTTTGTTCTGCACATAATCTAGGTTGATAGGGGGGAGAAGCATGACTGTTGTTATTTTTTTCACCTTCAATAGAATCGCAACTACTTTGCTGTGGGTAGAGATGGCTTTCATAGATGAGAAGAAAACAGATTTAAAAAAAAGGACTAGCTGTTCCCCAGTCTGCTTGCAACTTCCCGTGGATGCCAGAGGTGGGTGTGCAAACTGAGGATGCGCTGCAGCGTTCAGGCACTGAAAGGTTGTTGAAAAATGCCTCGTCAAAGGGTAACTTTGCAAAATACCCAGACCCACTGAAGCTAAAACCAGATGAAATGCCAGTTCTGCGATGCTTACTACAGTGCTGAACACTTTATATGGCTTCTTTCTCCTCCTCCTTCTCCCTTTTTGGCAATAAGCTCTGCTTGCACTTCGGGAGAAATATGGCAGTTCTTCCACTGTGTCTTGGTGTCTGCTCAGCCAGGAGTTAACATCATTAAAAAAGCAAAAAGCATTGCCACGTGTAGCTGCCCTGGGGACAGCATGAATCCTGAGGCAGGCAGAGCGCGACACCTTGCTCAGAGGTCAGCAGGGACCTGCCTTGGGCCCATCCAGATGAAGGCGGGGTGCTGGGGAACGTCTGGCCATCACCCCGGACTTGGCTGGTATGTGTCTCAACCGTTGCCCAAAGGTTTATTTAGGCTACCAGACTGGCAGGTGTGGGAACTGCTGGGGTCCGTGCCCACGAGGGACAGTGACAATACCAGAGTGACGTTGCCCACAGATTGCCCGTTCCCCTGGGGACTCTAGCACCAACAACAGCCTGACAGCAGCAGTCTGCTACTTCCACCTCCTTCCTCTTCATTTTAATCGTAAAAGGAAAAAAAAAACCCCAACAACTCACCTTTTCCTCCCACCAGCTTACTGAGTCCTGCAGTTTCTGGCACTGCTGCTCCTTAAATGGCCTCCTTTCCCTTTCACACTGAACCTCTACGCTAACGATGCCGGGGCAGGTATGGGATCCACACTGGGAGCGTGAGGGCTTGTTGCTCTTCAAAACAGCTATGTTGCAGAGCCCTTTCCTAATGCAATGTGTGTGTACTCAAAAGCCTGAAGTTTTATTTTCCCTTTTTAAAGCTGTGGTGCAGTCTTGTTATGAGTACATGCGCATGTGAATGAATTTAAAAACATGAACTGCCGGGTTTTCATGAAAATAACCCAAAAGCAGTGTATACCTGGCTAGTTCGTAAGTGCTCTGTCTTTGCTGCACCGAGCTGATAACATTGCACATTAAAGGCTTCCACTACTGATGAACTTGTATCTAAAGCAACTGTGAGCTGGTGGTACAGAGCGCGCTGTGTGTGTTTCTTCGGAAATCATTACCTCGTCTGGGCAGTGTAGCCCATCGGAGGCGTGCTGTCTCAAAACCAAGGCACCAGAAACCAGCTGGTTTTTACTTTTCCTTTGTAGCATCTTCCATCCTACAACAGCCAATTGTTATTTAATAGCTAATAACCCACAGCATTGCAAGGATGGCCACAGATGAGAATGAAATGCTTTCGCTTGTCTCTGACGGCGAGCAAATCCATGAGGTATTGAGTACCACTGCTGAGCTAAACAGAGTGCAGTAGCCTCACAGCCAGTGTGGTTTGGGCAGGCTGGATGCTAGAGCAGCTCCATGGGCTACCCGCAGGTCCTTTTGCTTTACTCCTGTGACCAGAGGAATGAGACCAAGGCCTGAGAAGAGGCAGGAATGTTGGCACTATGCAGCATTGGCCATTAAATGCTCACATGCCAGAGGCTTAGCCCGCAATCGGTAAAGGGCAATGTTAGCATGACATCGGGGGTGGTAGAGAGGGGAGCATGAACAAGTGGATAGGTACACGGAAGACAGCGAGAAAAGAAAAAATAATAACAGAAATAACAACATTGTAGTAAAAAACTTTGGCCTCTCTGTTCAATCTGTCAAAGCAAAATAGCTATTGTGGAAGAAAAAAGGTGTCCTGAAGTAATAATCTGGAACTTCTTACAGTGATGTTGCTACAGTGCTTTGGGCCAGTGGCCCAAAACATGGCATAAGAGTTTCTTTTAAGAACTGGAAAGGAATCCTAGACAATGTTTGCCCCAGCTTGCTGGCGGTCTACTAGTTAAGGACTTGATTCTGGGAGGTGCTGGCCAAAGTTCAGAAAAGCACTTACATGTGTTCAGCTTCAATTAAGCCTGTCAGACATGTTCTTGAATGCTGTGAGGCTGTTTGCATGCTTACTTAGTGTTAAGCACACGCTTAAGTTGGCAGGTAAACCAGGCCCAGAGTGACCAGCTCTCTGAGCTCGACTTGGTCAGTTTGTTTTAAACCACTATAATAAAAATAAATTAAAACCAAACTAGAACACCTCTGAATTGCTGTCCTTATGCCTCAGCTGTGGGTACCAGTGACAAGGCCCACCATCCACACCAATGCACCAGACTCCTTTTGGTAGACCAGGTAACACGATCTGTTATGCTCTTCTCAGTATGAGTTTAGGATCAGTTCTTGAAACACCTGATACAGAGAGGACAGATATCCCTCATTGAACCCCCGACTCCTCCTGTCGTGTGTCCCTCTGCAGAGCGGGTGGCAGTCACAGCCGTTCTTGCCGCGGGGTGCACGTCAGCTCTTACGCAATCACAAGACTTGGGCATAAAAACAACCTAGAAGCTGAGCGAATGCCATGCAGTGACCACAAAGAGATGGGTTTTGCTTGCTTGTCCTCAACATTCTTGTCGCTTACTGCTGATGGGTTCACAACTGGGTTTAGAAAAATTATACTTGAAAGAGATGAAAAATAAACAGTTGCTAGAACTCAACCAGCCTTCAGTAAGGAGTCCTGTTCTTTACAGGCAATGCCTTTTTCTGCCTGGGAGCTGAACAGTGCCTATCGACTGGCCATAAACTTCTCCAGGGAAAGAAATGCCCTTCTAGTCAGATGATATTCACAGATGGGGTAGCCTGTAGATGAGCTTTGATCCTTCACTGTCCTCATAAGGTGCTTGCAGCCTGAAAGGAGTGTTTGGTATAAGTGCTTTAGTGCCATAGGTGCCGGTCTTTTGGAGCCCTCACCCAGGCCAGTGATTCCCTGAACACCATCTCAGGGCTCTCTAGAGTCGATGACAGAGGCTTGTCAGGATGAGGGGTGCCTGAAGACAAAATGGATGCACCACCAGCTGGGCTTGAACATGTATGGCAAACCCACATGCCAGGGAAGTCTTATACATAGATGCCAAGTCTTGACATGATTCCCACCAGGGGTATTTTCTGTTATTGAAGCTTGAACCAGCAGGTCTGATGATGCTGCAGAACCCATCACATGTAAATACAATTTTCCTTTTTTTATATTTATTTTTCTACTCTTTTTTTTTTTTTTTTTTAAAAAGGCAGTTCAGAAGATTTACATTGTACGTAACAGGGAAGTGAATAATACCAGCACTTATGGTTCCTTTTAGTTATGTTTTGAAGACGGCATAGTAGTCAGGTAGAATTGAACTGCTACGGTCTATGAAACCTAAAACCCAAGGGAGGAGAAAAAAAAAAAAAAAGAGAAATAGTAAGATAATAGCCTCACATGCATAGTGTACATAAAAAAAAAATTTGGAGAATGCAGTGACACAATTAGGCAGCTTGATTCCTGCAGCACTGACATCAGCCATGCTGGCACTGTGGACCCAGAACAGACACTCCCACTTCCTTGGTCCTCACCAGAATCACAGTTCGCAGGCGTAAGCTGTTTGCACCAAAATCTACCGAAGACACCGGTGCACTTTGGGTCCATCCTATCAGATCCCTGAGCAAGTTATTTCAGATCAGCTACGCCTCTTTCAGACCACACCATGCCTGATTCCACAAAAATTGTCTGATTTATAGAAACCTTATGCTCTTCAGCCAGAAAGATTTACATATAGTTCAAGTATGATTGTTCCTTAATGTCTGAGGCTAAAGAGACAAGTAGAGCTAACACGGTCACCTTTCCTGCAAGTACACCCTGTGTCAGGAGGCCCGGGTTTGTCAGCTCTGCAAAGGTGTTTTTTTTTTTTTTTAAGCTGTGATTTTTCACTCTATCATGAATTAATTAATGTGTCCCACTAGTAAAGCAACATTCACATTCTTTGCTCAGCTCATGCCCCTGCTTAATGACATGAATAGCTCATTACCTTGCTAATGATTTTATAATGGTGATTTATCTAAGTTTGTATAAGGGAATTACTCTATTTTGCTTAAGCATGCTTCCTTCAAGTACGTATTTCCTGAGGCCACTTGTCTAACCAGTAAGTCCTGCTGAATTTCAGACAAACCCTTACCCCAATTTCTATTCCATTAGCTGTATCTCTGAGTTTGCCTGGCTCAGATGCAGTGAGTCAAAGCCACTCGGTGGCTTTCAGATATCATCTGAGTCACCTCAGAGGGTCACTTGAGCAGTGACCCCAACACTGGAAGAGAAGCAAAATACTTTCCAGGAACCTGGGAAAGCCAAGCGGCTGGAGAGACTCCTGGAAAACAAAACCAGCCTCTACGTTTGTGGGATGCTAAAGGCCTCATGGAAATCTATGGAGCTCTCAATGGAGCCCAACTCCTTGTAGCAACACCCCCTTTAAAACAGCCTCATCCTTCCTAAATTTGTCACCGCTCTCCTGGAGGAGCGAGCCAAATGTCCCTCAAAGGCTCAGTCACCGGGGTCAACAGATCTAGGCCAACTGCACACCCTAAAGCTTCTTCCAGACTTCGTGGCTCAGAGGCAGCTGGCTGGTCTCTAGCAGCACTCTGTTGTTACAAACCCCAGTGCAACCACCCCATCACACACTAGGAAGTAGAAAGGAGATCAGTTCTGCAAGGGAATATATGCATAAGACATGTGGTGAAATTTAACATAATTATTAATTTATACACATAAAAATCCCCTAATACAAAATTAATTTTGCCTTAAGCTTTTCTGTATTTTTCTTAAGAGTATTAACTGCATTTTTTATGAGCACCTAGCTGATGAACGTATTAAACAAGGGCAGCTCCAGTTTTGCACCAGATCTCACTCTCGCTTGTCTTCAATACTCAACACTTTTTAACGTCTAACAATGAGTGTGGGTTAATGTTGATTTGCAAAGGCCTGACTTCAGCTGAAATGCCGGGAGTTCAGCTCATCTCGGCATCAAAGCCAGGGCAGACTCAGCACAGACTGTGTGAAGGGAACGTGCCCTGACCTCCCAGTGTGCCTCGGCCGTAGCCTGTCAGAGAAAAGGGCTGCTAGTTTGGGGTCATGAATAATTCGTTCAGTCTCTACCTTTTTAACCAAAAAAAGCGCCTAAAAGTGTAAAAAATAGTGCCTCGCTTGTAAAGCCAATCTTGCTAGTTCCCCACTGCATCATCACCTACAGCAGGACATGAAGGACAGGACTGAGAGGTCGGTGCATGGTGTGTGCGTAGCGTGGAACACCCGTACACTCAGCGGGATGTGATTTGCGCTTGCTCAGTCATACCTTGCTACGTACCGGCTCTACAAGAGCTCCCTGTCCCCCTTCAGACACCAACGCTATTTGCCTTTGGTATCAGAAGAACAGACATGCAGCTAGAGCATGATGATTTAAGAAATAAAATAAAAGGAGGTTACACTTTATTAAACAGACGGCATGTGCCTGCATATCGCCATGTAATGAGGCAGTATGAGTTCATCTGTGCGAGTTTCTTTTACAGCCTGTAATTCTAAATGTTGTTTAGACCTCATGGCGTGTTCAGTGGGTGCTGGAGAAACAGCTGCTGGGTTGTTTTTTTTTTTTGAAAACAACAGTATTCATTGATACTCTTAAAAAATTAATCTCAGCTTACCTTGTTAGATGCCTACTTAATTCATGAACTTCCATTTCAGTGCTTTTAAATTCATTAAGCTCTTTTCGAATGGCTGCCTGCAAAGGACAAATAAACTCATAAATGTATAAATGAGAGAGATCAACGTAAGTTCACTTTGTTCTCAAAAGAGTATATTAAAAGTGAAGCAGATAGATAGCATTATCAGAGAGAAAAAGAGAAACATACAAAAGACTTTAAAATGTGAAAAGGAACAGAGATAAACATGTTCTAAATCACATAAAGGAAAGAGATAAATGCTTTGGTGGAATGGCTCAATTTGAAAACATATCATAGACAACACAGAGAACCCAATTCTGCTTATTATGTAAACACTTTCATGTACAAAATCCAACTTAGCATAAGCATGAGAAAAAAAACATGCACCAAAGTTGCTCAAACACTGCGATCTGTTTCAGAGCTGGACTGTGAGTAAACTCGTATTTGGGACATTTCCCGCCTTTATGTCGTCCTGAATTTCCTCAGGTGAAGTCACCTAAAGTGGCTGAGCTTACCCCATAGAATCACAGAATAGTTTGGGTTGGAAGGGACCTTTAAAGGTCATCTTGTCCAACCTCCCCTGCAATGAGCAGGAACATCTCCAACTCGATCAGGTTGCTCAGAGCCCCGTCCAACCTGACCTTGACTGTACTTGGGAGGGAAACAGGGGTGCCTGGCTCCCTGCCCTCCTCTCTGCCTCGGGCTGTGTCCCTCTGCCCTTCTGACGCAGCTCTGCCATTTACTGAACCGATTCAACGCACCAATCCAGCACAAAACTAGCCACAGGCAGTCGTATTCAGCTTCTGTGGGAGACCCAGTTACCTACAGCCTCCGCGGTCTGTCCATGAGGGAAAAGAAAACCAGGGGTGACTGGCAGGAAAAGAAATTTTGAAGAATAAAAAAAATAAGAAGGGGTGACTTGGAGGGACTCAGCTTTGTGGTGGAGAGGGAGCTCAGCAGAACTGGCACAAGTCCCACGTGCCAAAGTCATGACTTCTGACAGCCCTGTGATGTTTGTGGCTCACAAATGGGTTTCGTTGTGAGCACACAGAGAGGATGTGTGGCTGCTGCAACCAAATGCTCCCATGGGTCCAAGGTGTGTGCCACGGCCTTCCCCTGTGATGCTGAAATCAGCATCGGCAGCTGCAAGTGGCTGCTCCAGTCGGTGGTGCTCGTGTCTGTCAGGAATTTTTTGCGATGAAGGAAAGCCAAACGAGTATGAACAGCACGAGTCTGAAACAGCGCTTTTGCAACAGCCACTGATCCAGTCACCAACTACCTACCTTTGCCTCGAGAAGCCCTAAGCAGTAGATTTTGCGAGTCTGATCTGCAGAAAAGGACCCCTGTGCTCTTTCTGCACAGGTTTGTTTTTTTATTTACCTTGGAAAGGTCTGTCAGGCTCTGACTCCATCTGTCAGGACAGAGCGATGGCTATGCAGCAGCTCAAGGGCCTACCTTCCGCAGACCACTTTGCTGCTTAAGGGGCTGTGAAGGAGGCCACGCGGCTACCGACTCCCACAGGGCCTGAAATCTATTTCCCCCTGCATCCCTCATCTGTTGGAGAGATTTCCAAGTGCCCTTTTTATTCCTCTGACAGTCAGACCTGGTAGAGCTGAAGTCAGACTGAAGGCAGGTCCCTACATCCAGCACGCAGAGCCAGATTTACTGACACCAGAAAAGTCCATTACTAAAATCTAATTTTTGCAGTAAATCTAGCCTGTGCTGACTAATGAAGATGGTTATTGAATGAAAGCTCTGGAAGAAAAGAATCTTTTATGGGATGTTGCAGCTTTGTCAGATATTTCAGAGTTGCTTCCAGTTTGCCTGGCTATTTTTTTCCAACAGTGGACACAGTGGTGGGGAAAAGCAGGTCATTTGAATGGCAGAAATCAGAACACCGCCCATGTAACCCAAACCCCCAAATAATATATCTGCTTCCTTATGCCATAAAGGGCATTAATATTAGAATGACAAACATTTCTTCTTCTCCTGCTTTGCTTAGAAAAGGTTCACTTGGAGAACATAAGCCCTTTGCTCCATGTATGGACTTCGACATGCATTACAAAAAAGAAAAAGTGACCTCAAAGTACTTTCTTTAATACTGAATTCTCTACCAGGCCACATTTAATAGTGGTATCTAATACTTGTTCTTTTCACAGACACAGGATGAGGAAGGACCTGTCTGGATACCAAATCTTCTCCTTCCCCAGCTGGAGTCTCTCCATTCCTTTCACCCCAGACAGGGATCTCTCAAAGACTGCAGAACCAGTTGCAGATTTATTCCCTGCCTCATCTACCAATTGGGAGAATATAACTAAGTCAGTCTTGTCCAACGTGGGCAAAGTAAAACGGGAAAAGCTAATTTAACCCAGTATATTATGGTCTGTGGAGAGCCCAGAGGAAGTATTTTTTTTTTCAAATCAGTTTATGCTACATTAACTTACCCAAAGCTAAACTGAAAAAGCCCTCTGTCAAGGAGAAAACCAGTGGTCACAAACCTATATAAATCCTTTGGTTATATTATAGAAGTAGAACGGGCTGCCCTTTCCTCTGTGAATAAAACCAAGAGCACCATAAATAAGTGGCACGGCCAGGAATCCTGCTCTTGTCCCTAAACATTGGACATCAAAGTCTCCATCACTGCTTGAGTCCCACAGCAAAGAAATAGTTGGGTACCTGAAAGCCTTTAAAATTACATGGGCATCATAGAGTGACTAAAGCATGGGAGTCTCTGATCAGCCTCACAGTCCTCTTTTCTTACAGTGGCCATAAAAATGTTGAAGTCTTCTTCCTGAGGCACGATTAAGACCCTCAGGATATGATTGTTATAATTTGCCAGCAATTTAACTCCTCTGCCACCAATGCTGCTACCAGAGACCACTTAGTGAAGGTCCCACTGGCGCCCAGAGGACAGCGCACTCGATGCCAAACATGCAGCTTTTCTTCATCTGCAGGGCTTGTGCGATTTCAGTTTGATGATTAAAATACTCTGTGGAATGGGGCAGAAGTCCTGAGTAAACACCCCTATCGTAACAGAGTAGAGAGAAGTTACCTGGCTTCGGTGGGAGGTGCTTTAGCCAATTATTTGACCCGCTGTCATTTTTACACCCAGGCCTGCTCTGTCCTGGCACAGCAATTCTGGCAAGTGCTGCTGTCACGCTGCTCTGCTAGGTCTTGCAGGGGCTCTCAGCTGGCAGCATTATGTGGCAAGACCAAAACCAACAAACAAATAATGGGGCTGCCATTGAGACCTTTCGTTGAAGGGCTTGATATTCGCTCCTCTCTGTTTGTGGTATAACGCTGCTGGGCTTGCTCCTGGTTTCCATGCATACAGGAGCCTTCTTGCCAAAGATTTACGACTCAAACAACAAACTTTGTGAATGGCAAGAAACCACAGGCGTGCTGGGAAGGGACGTCAGGCAGAGGCTTATTCCTTGAAGGCTGTGGGACCTGTGGGACCCGAGGGATAGCATTTGCTGTGACATGCTCTAGCTATTCAGATCACGGGTGTCCCAGAGTTACACTTACTTTGTCGGCGGCTGTGAGTCGTGTCCAGGGTTTGTCCGCCCTCCTGTCGTAGTCCTGCGCATCTGCCACTTCTACATAGTCACTGAAGCGGATGAGGATCTTCCTCTCGCGTAGCTCTTCTACCGTGGGCCTTTGACTCAGCTGCAGGTTTGAGGAAGGAGCAGAAAAAGACATCAGGACTTCAGCTTTTCCCTGCAGAGTGCTTCTTGGGGATTTATTTTATTGTTATGATAATAAGAGGGTTCAGACATTCCCAGTACCATTGTTTTTATCAACCTTTCACAGAATTGCTACTTGGGAGATAACCTCTTGTTACAGCACCTTGAATATCATCCCACCTTGCTGCCAGAGCAGCCCACTGCTGTTTGGGAAGCAGCTGTGGCTGCAGACCTCAATCCCTGGTTGAGGTCGAGCACCCCTGGCAGAAATGAGATGTAATGCCAGTAAGTCTCCTCGTGCACTGAGGTCTCGGGACGAGATGAAGACGACAACACAACTTTAAAACTACCTGCACAGGCTGTACGCTCCCCAGCCCTGAGCTGCTGCGTGTGCTTCTGGGCTGCCTGGGAAGAGTCAGGTAAAGGCACCGAGCGGCTCCTGCCCTGAATTATGTGCAAAAGGTGACAAATAACTTTCCTTACCACTCTGATATTCTGAAGACTTGTCCTTACCTCCAGAAAAGGCAGGTAGGATGATGACTATTGCACACTGAACTTTTCACTGTATGCTGCAGCTCAATTTTGTGTCACAGCATATTTGACTATTAACAGTTTACATTGCATACTACAAGCCCAGAAAAAAAATTGCAAGGGTGGATTGTATCGCATCAAGAAAACATCTTCATTGTTCCAAAGCATTTCTTTCAAATTCCACAGCAGAATAGGCAGCCACAGTCAAAACTCTCCTCTCAAATTAGAAACAGTAATGTGCTGGTAGTCCACGTATCACAAAGCCAGTTACATGGCTAGGGACCGGAATTGGCTCTCAGTGATCCAGTTCTCCTTGGATGGACAGCGCGCTGGTTACTGGCAAAAGCAATTACATGAGTGCTTCTGAAGAAGGTGCTACATATGTGTGTGCATGTGGCTGTACATCAGCTGCAAAAGTTTCACCTTTAGAGTGAAACATTTGTCATTGTGATATATCAGGAAAAATAATATCCTGCTATTAGCTAGACAGTGCATCATGCTATTCTCACTCATTAGAAATAGGTGTGTTTTGCAATACTTCACACTTGTGAATAGCGAAACTTCGAAATATTTCATAAAATGCTTGAGACTCTATTCTGCAAAGGTATTTAGGCTTCTGGATCCAGACATGCAATTCCACCTTCCTCCCAAAATAAGTATCTCGGCTCCCTGCATTTCATTTTCCAGGGAGAATTAAGATTCAAACCAGCCATGATGCTAAATGGAGGGTGGAGGGTGAAAAATTTGTGCGATCACAAGAAAGAGAAGCACATGCTTGAAATCCCACCTTCCCCCAGTATTTGGGTGCTGATGCAAGACAGCTCCACTGCCCCATCCTGCCTCTGGATTTAAATCCCTGTGTGCTTGTTCTTGGCATGGATGGTTGCCTCTCTCTTCTCTTTTTAGAAAAGATGGCTGTGACGGGAGGCGGCAGTGGGGCTGCTCTCTTTACATGGACAGCCCTGAGCACGCACGCCTGAACTGGGTTCAAACACCTCATGTAGAGAGTCTGCAGAGGTGCACTAATGCTCCGCCTGTGAGATGCTCAGGGACAGGAATCAGGTTCTACCCCTCCTGGCTGCAGCACCACTATTTTGCACACACTGAAGGGAGAGAAATCTCAGGAAGAAAGTGTAACCAGGAGCACAGCTCTACACTGCCACGTAATGCCCTTGCCTCGGACAGCCAGCATCAGTCAAGTTGCAGTTCATGTGTTGTCCCCATAGCCGTTTTAGGGTAACCTACAACATTTAGTAGGGGAAAAACTCCTTGCTGATTTCAAAAAGAACAACTTTGAAACTTCTGAATACTGCAAAGATCTTAAAACCAGACAGTTTTCTCAAACTCACCTTCTTCTATGGGAAACTATGAAGTTTCCCGTGGCGAGCTGCTCTGCGTGTTTGTCACGCAACATTCCTCCTGTTTCTTCCCAAGAGAAGCCCTATACCCACATTCAGGTCAGCCAAAGAGCACGTACGCAGTGAGGCTGGCAAGAAGCATGCCTTTCTGAACTCAGACTACAGGTTTTGGGGACCTTTTTTCAAAAATCAAAATGCATACACAGTAGGCGTAACCTTTTTTTTTCTTTAGACAACAGGCCAGACCTATCTGTGACCTAGAGTACCATGTCAGAAAAGCCAGAGGGCACAATAAAGTAGATTGAAACACATATAGATTTAAAAATGTTATTTTTCACTCTAGCAGAACAGAATTGCCTCTTCAGCCTGCAGCCCCGATACCTACACCTGTCACCTGCAAGCCAAAGACACATTGCAATTAATAGACTTTTAACAATTAATTAAATTCACATTGCAATTACTAGGCTTTTAACAAATGCAAGAAAACCATGATTGGAGTATAATCACAGTTATCCTGTGAGTGAGGCTTCTCTCTGTCTTACAACTCATCTTGCATGTGATTTCCAATCACTAGGTTCTTCTAGCAGCCCTAGTGCTAGGAGCTGCAGGTTTGTCAGCACTAATGCATTATTACTCAGATAGCACAGCAGAATTTTGCTTCTGATTACTTAAAATCTAAGCCCTGACTATAGGAATAGAGAATTTTTATGCTGAAATAATATTATAACTACACCCCAAAATTTCAAAGATAAGGGGTGAGACCCCATCTCTACTTGCATCAACTGCTTCTTTTCTCACAACAGCACAAATTAAGGATGAATCACTAATATTATCTGTACATTTCTCAGCTTTTATCATTTTAGGACGTAGCCTAGATGTTGTTTCAAATTAGGATGGAGTTTTTTAAAAAATAAAATGTCTTATTACATGGAGTATGTCAACACCAACAAAATATAAAATCCTGTGAATTAAACTCTGTGTTTCTAAATGGCTACAAGGGAAGCAGGAGCCCCTATACGCTTTCCAAGCTGGAAGAGGACTTTCACAAAATGACCGGCTCTATTTCACAGCTTTGGTCAGATCTTGACATTAGCTGGCTTTCACATTTGTGCTAATCTAAGTGATTAGCAAGTTTGTACGAAGGAGAAAGCAGGTGGCTGTTGACGTAGTGAAGGATGCTGTGCCAGGCTGATGTCTAGGTGGTGTCAAGAGCACGAGAGCACCAGGAGCCACAGAGGCAGCGGTACTTTTGCCAGCAATGGGAATTCACTGCTGGTATTTACCTCAATGCGGCACTGGGTCTCAAGCAGCTCATGTGGCTTCTTTGGTGTGCTGTGTGTTGGTTGAAAGCAAAGAAATGACAGTAAATGTTAAGGGCCACATGAAGAAATGAGACAAATCTGAGCTAAGTTCTCACGTTTGCAAATGCACAAGACGCCAAATTAGATAAATCACCCCCACATTTTACAGCACTGAAACACACTGTAACCCTTCAGTGGGTGTGAAGAACAGTGCACTGAGTTATATGGGAACAAACGTCAAGGGCATAAGCACATTATGACACTTCGGTGTTAACGTGCATTTTTCATTCTTAGGTGACACTTGAACGTAAGACAGACTAAACACTTCTTCTTCTCTTCCTCTGAAGTCATACAACTATTACTGTGTATTATTTTTAGATGCCCTACCTTTGCTTCACAAACCTACAACCAGTGCAATTTAAGGTATTTATGCACCCCATCAGAGTGGCGGGCAGCGTCTCCATCCCCACAGAGCAGCTGGAGCAAGCGAAGCAGAGAGACCGAGCAACCGGCTCAAGGTGACCCAGGAGGCCCAGGGCAGAGCTACGACCAGAAGATGGATGCACGGAATCTCATGCCAGTGTTCTGACTGGGAAAGAGAGTCCTGAAATCCACAGCTTATACCACATTGTTCATGTATAGGCATAAATCTGCATATATTTACATGTATAAATACGCACACACACACACAAAATATTCAGTACGTTAAACCAAAGCGCCGATCTGATCGTACTGAACGAAAAGAGAGGGAAAACCATACTGAGTGGTTTTCTAAAGCAATTAATTAAAGCTACATTACTTCAACGTTTCACAAACTGCCCTGCCCCTTTCTCACACCATTGCCAAGATTTCGTGTGAGCTGCTAAGCATGAGGGTCTCTCAGCATGTCTGGGCTACCCAGAGCACCCTTAACTCTTAAATAGCTGGGAAAACAGCTTTGCTAACAGACTCTTAAGTGGCTCCGCTGTAGGCGTCAGTGCAATGTCTGTTCATGATAAGGGACAGCTCACCTGGGATCTCACCTTGGAGTTTAATTTTATGACCTGTGACCTGCGGTCTCTTGGGTAAAAATTGCTTAATGCCACATAGTCCTTCTTGCAGCACCTAAGAATGAGCTCTGCTTCTTCTAACAGGCAGAAAGACTAGGGTATGTTCAAATCTCACAGTAAAAGGACATGGTCAAGGACACGATGCACAAGGTGGTGGTGCTTCATGCGGGAAGAAAGGCATCTTACTCACTGAGCTGTACCCTTTTTTTAGTTACTTCTGTTAATGTTAGATGGATGTGCGTGTGTGTGTGTCTGGACTTTTTCTGGGTGTACCTCCTGGGCATATACATTTCTATTTACCTATTTGTGAAGATCTGTGAGCCGAGCGAGCAGGACAACTTTACGGTGAGTGACCTCGTTATTTGACTGTGAACCGGGGCAAAAATCCCTTCAGAAGTAAATGGATTTGTATTAACGCGAGAGCAGTGTAAATGAGGACAGACCTCCCAAGTCTTGTCATGGGAGGTCAAGTTTTCCTCTATATATTCCGTATCACCGGAGATAAAAATGGGCATGTTTCAAGCTTTGAGACTAAGCCAAATTGCAAGGGAGGGTTTAACACAACCCCCTTTGTTCTCAGCATGGGAAATGGAGCAAGTCCAAGCACCACCACCAGGTAAAGTGAAGGGGGATGTACTCTGGCCAGTCTGGTCTTGGGATTTAGTCAAATGTGAAGTGCTGAGTTTGCTCCACTGGAGTCACAATGAAGCTTGTCTTGTCGCTTCATCGTTGCCTGCTTTGCTATCTTGTTAAAATGTTATGGTTGTTATTTAGCGAAGAAACCGAGGTGAAAAATTACAGATCCTAACTAGCAGTGCACACAATCCCCTCTCTCCTTTGCTCCCCACATTTTGTGGTAAGACATAGGAGCCGGATGTGATGAAAATGCCCCGAAGACCTTTCCCTCTGACTATAAATGCAGTTTATCCAAATTAGCCGCTAACCTTTTTTCTTCTCTGACCTTTTATCCCTCCCCTGCCTCCCTCTCACCTCCCTTTGACAAGTCCCACCTCTCTCAAGAATTCATTATTTTGCACAGCCTGTGCTGATGCAAGCTGGTGGAGGTCAATTAAAGAAAAGATTGAACAGTAAGACCTTTCCCAGTGAGGCACCAGCTTGCTCTCCAACAAACAGAGAGTTTAAGTTGTACCAGGACAGGAATTTAATGGGAGCAAAGATTTCAGAATATTGCACAGATTTTAAGAAATAACCATAGCTCATCACTTTTGTCGTTGTTACTACTGCTACATGATTTTTTAGGTTTGGAGCTAGACCTCTGGGAAATGTTGACAGCGGGGCACAGGAAGCAGTAAACAGCTCTGGAGAATGGGGAGCATGATGCTATTTGAGACCAGAGAAGGCAGGAAAAGAAGAGTTTTATTCCTCTTTACAAGTGATTTGTAACGTGTTCTGTTAATCCAGGCTATGACTCTCTCTCTCTGTAATGGAAGTCCTCAGGGGAAGTTCAGGCTTGTGTTAATTGCCTTGGTGCTTGGCCAAATTCACCACGATTTAGAGAGGATAAATTCTTAGCAGCAATTCCTGGGGGCCCAGATCTCCCTGTGGAGGGGACCTGCCTGCTACACTTCTCCCAGAGGGCCTCTGCACGTTAATATTCCCAGAATGGGCTTGTGGGCCAAGATCAGTGCCCAGAGAAATTCTCTCCTAATCCTGCATGTCCCTCCACTCAAAGCTGCTCGGTGGGCCCTGAGGGGCAGGGAGAGGGAGTTTGGGGTGGCTGGATGGGCAGAACCCATCCGTGGGCATCTCGGGAGACAGGCAAATACGCTTCACCCCTCCTTCCTCGGGCAGGAGGGACACGGGCTACAGAGAAACTGTACCAAGCAGCATTTGCCTCCTTTTTATTCTTTCAATGGCACCTATTCCCTATCCCCAGTTAATTTGGAGTTAGATGAGTCTGAGAGGATGAAAAGTGCTTAAAGGGATAGCTCGCTATAGGTCACCTGATTATTTTAAACTTTTTTTTTAGAAATTGCCTGTCCAGATGATGAATTCAACTGGATATTTATTGCCGACTTTAATAAGGCATCTAGACCTAGCGAGGTAATCTTAGTTATCACAGCACGTCATGTTACAACTTATCATCATAATACTGTAACAAAATGTCAGTGCTGAAGGAATTTAAGAAGAGCTTTTTAATGGATGAAGTGGGTTGTTCCCTTGGAGTTGGAATAACGCCACCGAAATAATCGGGGTCAGTAGCAATTTCTAGAGTGCAAGGTCAAAAGCCTTTTCAGCAGCTTCTGCAGAACCCCCTTCCCTTCTCATTACCAACTACCCGTGGCTACAAGGAGGCAATATGTGGCATACTGTCCTTATGTTGAATTTACCCTGTAGGCATGTTGTGTGCATTAAACCTCAGTGCAAACAGAAAGGTCTGCTGGGCAAAACACTTGCCGTGCGCAATTAAACTTCTGCTTGATCCGAGGTTTAAAATCCTTTGGTAATAAGACTTCAGTACAAATCGACAGACGGAGGCTGCCGCTCTGCTGTAGACACGACGACACATCTGGGACATGCTCATGAAAGGCAGGGCTGGGGAATAACAACAATTTTTGCAGGATTCACTAGGTAGTTGGCATTTCTAGTTGTTATCTACCCACTTGCACACTTTATTCACTTCTTTCCTCTAGTGATTTCTGAGCTTTTATAATGGCATGTTTGGTAGGTGAGAACAAAATTTGCTGTTAGACCGGGCCTGCGGTTCTTCCACTAAAATTACAGTGTGTCACTAGAACAATTTACAAGAGTTTAAAAAGATGATCAAAATCAAACAATGCTAAGGCATGTTGCTACCAACCTCACAAACGTGGGGGAGAAAAAACTTTACGAGGGAAGAAGGCAAAAACGGCTAAAAGGAATGTCACCGGGAACAGGGGTATGAAATTAAAGAGTGGACTGCCCGGGGCTCAGCCTGACGCTGCTCTCACTGCTGTTTCTACTTAAAAGTGCAACGAAGACAAAGAAAGAAATCTCATAGAAGACTGCTGAGGTTTGAGGGAGCAGACACTGCTCCCATGCTATAGCAGCATGGGCGTTTTAGTTTAGCGAGTAGCTGTGGCCTCTGCCTGCAACAGACAATTCATGTGCTTTGTAGCTCTCCTACGAAATAGCGGAGGATAGGAACCGTATGGCGATACTGCAGGCTGAGTTAGCAAGCCTCCATTTCTTAGGCAGCACATTGGGCATGGGTAGCTTTGCTTTTTATCTATTACAGCTGTTCATCAAATGGCATGAAGCTTTGGATTGGATTCCTGTATGTGTTTACCTTTCAATGTACCAGGAAATCGAAAGCCTGGTAAAATGGTATTTCTAGCCTTTGTGCAGAACTTAAGAAGTCCCATGAAACATCTGCAATGCAGTTAGGATCTTTTCTTTCAGGCAGCGCTACAAGAGGATGTAAGAACATCCCTGCCATTGTTGTCAGGAATTTAAGTGTTTTAAAAATAATATTACGGCTCTCTGGGCTGTGTTCTTAGCTCCTGCAGATACCAGCAGTATCATCCTGTTGGTGATGGAGAACTCTGCTCATTTACATGAGCTGAGAACAAGCTGTGAGATTTTTAACAATGAAAGAAAACAATCCAGCTCTCTGAATGTAACCTTTGCATGTATATTTACAGCCCTTTCCTTGTCATTATTTATACTATGAAAGCTTGTGATCACACAGTTCAAAAAGACAAAGCCACCTAAAAACATACAGGAAGGGGCTAGTGCTGCCTCACGCACACATGAGTTTTTCGGGGTCCTTCTCCATCTCTGGAGATAGGAAATACATCAGTGGTGAAATAAAGTTTATCTGCAGTAACAGGATGGATTGTTGGCTATGTATATTGGGGCATCTGTAGACATTTACACCAGCTGCGAAACTGAACGTGTGTTATCTGAAATGACTGTTCTTCAGTTTTAAGAGTAAATGACTTTCAAATGGGAGAAAAACTAAACCCAAACTACGCTGTTTCATTCATCCTTCCCTGCCAACACAAGACTGTTTTCTGCGCCACACACCATTTTGCGAGTGCTTGTTTCTATTTAGTTTAAATGCCTCAAGTGACAATCTCCCTTTCCAGAAAAAAGTTTATTTCTCAGTTTTATGCTTTTTTTGAGGTGGAATTTTCAAATGCAATCAGCATTGTTTTAACTTTGCTCACTTTGTAATGGCTGCTGAAGCCATTACATTTACAGGGAGCACGGTTAGACCAACGCTAGGCTCTGTATCCTTCACTGTTCAAAGCTCCTTCGGTTATAAAGACTAGATTGTCTTTTGTCCATTTTCAAAACGTTACCAGCAGTAGCCCACAAAGCAGTTCCCTTCACTTGTCTGTGGACTTACACCCTATAAATTGGTCATTTCTTTTAAAGATTTCTTTTAAGACTTGTTTCACACTCTCCTGTTGAAAACGGTGCTGAGGAAAAGGAGAAAGGCAAACAACTGTGCAGTAGGCAGAAAATTACAGTATTGTCATAATAGGATCAAAGTTGCTTCTCACCTTACGTGTTAATCTTCTCTTTATCTCTCGTTTTTCCTCCTGCTCCTCTTGCTCATTCCGGGCTGTAAAAGATTTACAAGGATCTCAGGCTGTGGACTCATCAGGCATGCACAGTATGCAACAAAATAAGCCTCTCCATCAGTATATTAATGTTTCAGGACCTCTCTGATGCACAGCGTGTCCCTCTGGGGCTGGTGAACTTCCTCGATCCGTAGCTACTGCACTTCTTCACACACTTCATAAAACATCTACAGCCTTCTTCCTTTCCCTGTGTTGGCATCTCTTCATGTGTGACACTTTCTAGAAGGGCCAGGCAGCGAGCCAGCTCTTCAGAAACCCTTATCTCCCTGCCCACAGGCCTGGTGGCCTCAGGGGGTTCAGCTACGATACGGTTGGATTCTGCAAGGCTGCAAGGTCAATGGTTGGAAAAGACACACACGCATTTTTTTCTTCCATCTACAGAATAATTTCTCTGCAGCTACTCTTTGGAAAGAAGGGAAAAAACAATCAGAATAGGGGTGCCAGGCAAAACCTGCAACTTCCCATGACCTGAGCAGAGTAAGGAGAGAGTGTCCTTCTATCATGAGCCTTCACAGCATCACACTGGAGCGTAAAAGCACGTCTTATGGCAATCCACTTTCAACATTAAGCCAAAAGATTACATTACCAGTACTTACCAGGGAAAGCCTCAACCGCCTCAACCCTTATCCCTCAAGAGGACAATAACATTTGAGTACACTAACTCTTCTTCAACTTAGGAGCAGGCTGTCATGCATGTCTTTCCACTGAACTTTACCAAAAGCCACTAAAAGCCCAGGTTTCTAGGTACTCAGCTCCTCAATCAGTCACTATCCTTTTCCACTGCTTCGTTGTTGGCTAAATTGCTTCTTACTCCAGTCATGCCCGTGTATAACAGAGGAGAGCAAACACAGCTCATTGGCTTTTCCAACAAGTACCCTGTGCCCTCGGTATGATCTGTTTTCACTCAGATAGGACTAGCTCAGGCAGGAGTAACTCTCTGCAGGGGAGATTATGGACCTCAAAAGCCAGTTTGGGATAGGTGGCTTGATTTAAATTGTCCAACTTTGGACTGAATTAAACCCAAGGGGGAAATCCCACTTTCCTCTCTGCTGATTCTGTGGGAGAAGCAGGCACCCCTGGCAGAGTGGCAGTAAACCAGCTGTAACTTCTTTGGTCAAGAGACATCAGGTCAGCACTCCCACTAACGAACTGGGACAAGCCAAAATAATATAAGGAGGTCCTATCCCAAAGGAAGTCTACCCACAGCGGAGGAGATGCAACTTTTCAAACCAATGCATTCAAAACTGGGGCTTTCCCCGCACAGAAATAAGACCAAAGGTTCAGCTGTGAGGAGGTGAGGAGGGCTCGGCTGGAAGCCAGGTTTCTTGCTGCTCAGGAGAGTAGAGCTGACAGGTCTATCACAACTGCTCACTGACTTCAGCAGTACCAGGAAATCTCCGCCAAAGTGGACAAAGAGCCAGTCAATGGTGTGATGTTTTACAATACACTTCTGATCTTTAAATGCCATTTTACCAAAAATACTGCTTACGTTTTCAGGAGGAAGGAAACTGATACTAGAGTAAGAAGATCAGAAGACAGCAGGGAGTCACAAATGACTTTTAAAATGATAATTGGAATAACTACACTGATAAATACATTTTTCCTCTTTCAATGGTTACTGTTCCTACTGAGCTGGATTCTCCTGTAGCAATTGCTCCTCTAGCACTTTCATTCTTCCCTTTGTGTCTCAAATTTGGAGGAGGTGGTACTGCAAACACCTACTCTCATAAACAGAGCCATTAATAAATCCTTGTAAGATTAAGCCAGAGAGACACGGTGCTAAACAGAGCCCACACAGAGTCAGGGTAGAACTGCAAACAGCTGAGGATTTATGTATAAAACTTAGTTAAGGCTATTCATATTGTACTTAGCATATGATGTCTTTCTTTTCTCCTCACTTCTTAGCCCAGCCACCCACCTTCAGAGACAGCCAGGTAGGCTGAAGACCTCAGTCAGGTAAAAACTGGGAATTAGGAATACATTCTCCTCCAAAACCAGAAAGTGACTTTGTTCTAGCTATTTCTTTAAAGTTAATTAAGTCCTCCCAACCATGTGAAGCTACAAAACCGTTGCTTTATTTTATCTTAGGTGTTCAGGAGATGCTCTGTTTCTCGAGACCTGTGTGGGTGACGGTGGGTGTGGGTGCAATTCTCAGCCCTGATTTCTGTGCCAGTGTGAAACGTCCTCCAATACAGTCTGAGACCCTCGGAACCTACCTAACCATCATTTTTGTAAGGAATTTACGCAACTGTGAATGTGCCAGGCTGACAACTGAAGTAGTTGTATCCATCGGAGAAGTGGCATGGGAGTGGTGCACGAGGGGGACTGAGGCATCCTTCCTCACAAACTTGGCCAGCAAGTATTAACTGCAAAAAGCGTTCTTTAGTCTTCACACTAACCTTGCACCTCTCTCTACATGCCATTGACTTAAGTAAGAGTCAGGGAATTGGGTATACTTCAGTGAAGGACCCTTCAAGCATCAGTGTCCCTGTTCTTGGTTTCTTTGCTGTGGCTGCTGTAATCTTACTGGTGCTACCAGCAAGTAGTGGAACTTGCGCAATGGGGGCTTTGCCCTTGCAATTCAATAAAGCTGAACATCTCATAATTATTGCAGTAGCATGGAGCTAGGAAGTGATCGCTTCACATATAAAGGCTGGATGTCCAGCTGCATTTTGCCTCATTTCTTCCCATCAGAATAGGCAATAATGTGGTTACACATGTAACAGGAACATCACAGTACCAGATTCACAGTACCAGATACATTTGCATCAAGGAGATTTCAGCTTTAACTAAAGAGGAAATCCTATTTACTCTACTCGGGAGCTTGTTGGGTTTTCTTTTTTTTTTTTTGTATGTGTGTGCACTATGAGCTGAACTTTTGCAAACAGCTTGACCTGCTTATGCAAAGAAACTTCACTCTTCATTATTTCTTCCTGTATCTCTTTTTCTCTAGGCTCCATTGTATTTGTTATAATTCTTTTTCTCAGAAGTCTAGGGAAAGGACACAGAGTGATGCTGTACAAACCAGACACTATATTTACTTGCTTAGGAGTAGAGATTTCTGTGCTTTCTTTTTTTTAATTATGTAACTGTTTTAATTGTTTGTTCCTTTCCTGCTGTGCTTCACCAAAAGTTGAGATGTCTTGGAAACACCACATTACTTTTTCCTCTAATTATGAAGCTGTTTGCCTACCAAGACACGCATGTTATGGGGCAGATCTGTGCTTAGGAACCAAGCTACAAAAATTCCATTTATGAAATACAATACAGTTCTGGGTTCAGGGTAATATTTTCAAATACACCCACGTCACTTAAGAGCCTTTATTAAATTCAAAAAGAAACCAACGTGACTCAGGGGATAATTCTTCTGAAATGTGAGACATCTTCAGGCTGCTACGTGACTGTTGCACTTGGCAAAGTGACCTTCAGGAATCTCTGCAAGGCACCCAGCGTTGGAGATGCAGCCTCTCCGCTGATCCTGGTTCAAACACTGCTGCCAAAGCAGCTGCCTGAGACCCCCACCTCCCCCCAGCCACCCTTACCAGTGCCAGGGTGGTGTTTACTGGTCACGCACCAGTGCCAGGTGGTGCATGACACATGTTGGGTCATGCTGGTGGCAAGTCCCGGGATGACAGCATAAGCTGCCCAGAGAATTGGCCTCTGTCCCTCCTCGCCCGAGCCTGGCATCAGTCACGTTGCAGGTTCCCCTTCCTCCAGCTGTGCTGCTACTCCCCCGTGAGACAGTCACATCTGGTTGCGCCACCTATTGCCCCATTTTCTGCCCCTGACTTTCTCCAGCTGCCAGGTATGGGAGTTAGGAGTAGACAGTAGGAGCACAGCTATCAAAAGATAGGGCTGACCCTAAACAAATGGCTTTCCTGGCAGCCTTGGGCTCACCCACGCCGCTCAGCTGTCCAGTCTTTTCTCCTCTTTGCATTGACAGTGGTGTCCCTCTCCTTTTCTTTGTCTGCCACACGTAATAACATGAATAGATGAAAAAGCCCTGCTGAGTGTTAACACTATCATTAACTTGCTAGGAATTTGATTTTGAAGTATTTAATCAATCAATTCTGCTAATATTCAGAGAACTAATCTTCTGCTACTACACTTTTACAGTTCTGGATAATACAGTTATTTGAACAAGAAGAAAGAGTAAATTATGGACCTACCTAAGGAGACACTATGGTATTTTAAGGTACCATTTAGGAATACTTTTTTCTGTAGTAATTTTTTTTAAAAATTCCCTGGAATGATGGATTTACTAACTTATTTCTTTTGTTTTCTGTTTCCAAAGTAACAACAATTAGATAAACAGCTTTGCTTTTTTTTTTTTTTTAATATTCAAACCAGTGCAATGTGAGTAAAGAAACTATTTTTTTTCCTGTTCATTCCTGAGATTATGAGATTTGTGCTAGACTCATTACTGCTTCCCTTGAAGCTGGTGGCAATGTATCTACCAACTCAACTCAGATCAGGGTCTCGAAATGGTATTTTGTCCCTTTAAAATATCATTTCACATTTTGAGGATCTACCAGAAAGTTTTTGGCTGATTTAAAGGAAGAGTTTCAGGGGAACATTTCAGGGAAATAGTCCTGACTCACATCGGTTTCTTTTTTAATTGAATAAAGGCTCCACCTAGTCTAGCTTGCTGTGAAGATTTTTAGGAAAACTAATCAAGCCATACCTTAATGTCTTTACTGACTAATAATGGGATACTCATCCTGTGTAAGAGCTGCATGAAGGCTTTTCAAAATGATGGACCCTCTGTTTGGAACAAGACTTGCAAAAGACACTCAACATCTGGGTTTTTTTCCCCATAGACTTCATTCTTGTGAATTTCCTGACGCTGATTTTAAAGAATTGTTTCTGCAGCTCTAGATGTTGCTACGGACTTGCACGCTTATTTGCATTTATGATGCACTCCATTATTACTAAAGATGCAAGTACGGAACAGTTTATGTTTTATAAAATACCCACCCAATATATATCTAAACTCTCCCAAACTAGCTGGCTTCAGGTTAAATGTCAGCAGTATCAGGACTTACGTTTCAGAATGTTCCTCTGCTCCAATTCTTCAGCAGTCGGCCTCTGGCTCAGTCGTCTGCGAAAAAAGTCCAAGATCAGTTTTTGGACCATATCACATTCTCCTCAGTTCTCTGTCTTGAAGAGTTATTTGGGGGTGTGGAAGGCAGAGCAGAACGCACTGACACTGCTCCATTATGTACTTGGTACACCCGGACCATGCGTGACACAGACCATGCTTCGCTTTTGCAGTTTCCTCTGTTTTCAACTCACGAAAGACAAAATACGTTATGTCATCTTAGGCATGACTCTCCCACCCCTACCCCAGGCAGAGCTGTTGAAAGCTAAGCTACACAGATGTCTCCACTTAATTTCCTTCCTCCCATGCCTGCTTCCTGACTCGTGCAAGTATTTCTAGCTAAGACCCAGCTAACCCTCTCGCTGCCCTCTCGCCAGCCTCCTGACTGTGCCCCGTTTGTTCAAACAGCGTTTGAGCACACAGACAGTCCACAGCAAAAACAAGGGATGGTTTGGCAGCGCTGAGGGCAGAACAATAGCAGCCCTCCTCCTCCGCACCCTCGCTTCCCTCCTCCTCTTGTGGCTTTTATTAAATCTTACACTGAAGGATCGTGTGACTTGCTAGTCAACCTGTACGTAATAGGGTCACAACAAAATGCAATCTAATTAAAAATGGGGACCCTGAGTGTGGAATTGGTCTGACTATTCAGAATACAAAGCAAGGGAGAGAAGCACAAAGGGGTCTTTGGAAAACAAAGTAAACCAGGGAGATGACATCAGAAGTCAACACTGCTGGGCCTCCTTATACGCTCCTCTGAGTCAATGGCAGTTTTGTCAACGATGCCAGCGACAGGACAGAGAGTCTTCCTTCAGACGTGGTCATTCAGAGATGTTCCCAACGTGGGGGCCCCAGTCTCTGCCAGTTGTCTCATTAGTTCCCATGCGAGGTACTGCGTACTGATAAAAAACATGATACGAACGCTGGCTACATGGCTTCTTCTGCGATGAATGCTTCCCCTGAACCAGCGCACAGAAGCTCGCTGAAACAGGGCTGTCCCTGCACGGCTGATCGACTGAGGGATATCTGACAATGGCTGCTGACAACACAGGGGCTGAGCCACTGCTCAGAGATGCACACACATCCCCAGTCTTCTCCAGAGCCAGGAGCTCACCCATGTGCCAGTTCAATACCCCTGCCCCTCGCATCGTGCGTGGTGCACAGAGCTGAAGTGCACAGGGTAGGTAGGAGCCCATCCCCTATGCTAGCTGGAAGAAGGCAGAAGCACTACGGGCATCTGACTTCATATAGCCTGAAGATTTCCACCAGCAGAGGTGATACCAGCCGTACATCCTTTGGGGCCACTTTACACCACAAAAACAAACCAGCAGAACATGGCCCTATTCTAGTGGAGAATTGGGAATCATTAGCTTTGTCTCTTTCCAGCAGATTGAATATTTACCTCACTGGAAAAAGTGCTGAAAGGGACAGAAACTCATCCTTAATTCAGAAGTAAAGAATGTCTGCAAAGTACTTGGAAAACAGAAGGTGCTATTCAAGCGCTTGCTCTTCCCATCTTTAAGATACAGTAGCTGTTGCTAATGGGAAACTTCACCTTAGAACTATGAAGCAATTAAAGTTACTTTATTTCTAGCAGTGGATGAGAATCACAGAGAAAAAGTTGCCGCTTTTAGCCCCACCATGTATGTCTCCAGAAATTGAGTTATACAATGTTTTTAATCCACTGCACCGTGATGCTTTTCAAGAGGATGCATCAGAGGGATGTTAAGGACGGACTCCAGCCATCCAGTGCGCGGCTGCTTCTACAGAAACAAACATCACAAAACAAGGAGAAATTAGCCTGAAGAGAATGCTCCTGAAAAGGTCCTCCCCTTTCCAAGAAAACAGGCACTGAAGGACTCGGCTAACAGTTCTGTCAAGAATAGTTCACACTGCACTGTTTCTAACAAAAGGCAGAAGTTCTATCTATCTACATAGGTGATTTACAAAAAGGACCAAACCTTCCATGTGTTTACTGGGGTACCTGCCATGAAGTAGATGCATTTAAACAAAGCTTCCACTTCACTGTGTCATTGCTTCCACACAGGAGGACAGAGATTTCCTCCAAGTATGCCCTTGGTATTATACACACCCTCTACTCCTGTGCTGTTCAGAGACCTACAGACTGTGGGATTCTTCCCATGCTGCCTGGTAGGGTCCCTAGAGAAAGCCAGACCCGAGTACCTGTGTTCCCCATCGAGAGTCAAATTATTTTATGGATCCCATTATCCACGCTTTTCAGGCTGCAGAGTGCTCCTGTCTAAATGATGACCGCCATTTTCAAGCGATGCACTTATATGGCAGAAAAAGCCATGACATTTTTGATAGATTCAGTCTGAAGATCTAAAGCTATCTGCATTCATGGGTTGTTGATCGCTTCTGGACTCTTACAAACCCAAGGATTTTTAATAGCAAGACACAAGCAGTAGGAAAACATAAGGTACCTTGGTAGCAGAACAAAATCATGACTAGTCCTTACAGTGCAAACAGTGAAGCACAGCTGGAGGAGGAAGAAGGTAACGAATAGAAGCTCTGGAGGTTCCTGGCCTCCAGTACCGGTGTCAGCTTTTACCTCCATGAACTGCTGTTACATCCCCATTTCCATCATCCTTTTGGACTGACTGAACCTCTTCCTGCTCCCTCGTTTTGTGTCCCTCCTTGACGAGCTCCTCAAACAAACCCAGCTCCTTCCCCAGCCCTTCCCTTTCGAACTCTCATAATTATCTCTTTTCTTGGTCTCTTGCTCTTTTAATTTAATTTAATTTCATTTCATTTCATTTCTTCTCTTGCTGTTACAGTGATTTCTGCCCCCAAACTATCTTTGGGCTTTACAAACAACTCCACCAGCTCTTCAGAACAGCATCAATTTCAATTTAGTTATTTTTTCTTGCCTCTTAACTTCTAGGTTTGCCAGATGTTGAACAGCTGTTAATGTTACCATCTTTAAAAATCCTGATGCTAGTTACAGATACTGTAAATCAAGAAACGTAAGCAGCTATTGCTTTTTTACCATGGCTGCAAAGATACAGTTGGGTTTTTTTCACACCAAATTTCAGTATACTATCTCCAGTGTGCCACTCTGGTCTTGGCAAAACACCAGGTGTGACACCTCCCCTCTTCTACCTTCCCTCCTGTGCTGCCCAGAATAAAACCTAGCTTGCAGAGGTTGATTTCAGTGGTTTGATTCCTGGATTACTGCTGTGCCCTATTTCATTTAACATCACAGGGGCTGCATGAAGCTGTCAAGAGGCCAGAGGCCAGGAAACAAATGTATCATTAACAGCACAGTCAGAATAAACAGGAGAAAATGGAGGTGAGGAAGGAGTCTGGTGCACAGCAAAGAACAAATCTGCTTGTGAAAACTGTAAGAACCAAGTGGGACATGCGATGCTGCTATTGATCAGAAAGGTAACTCTGGCTGTTTCACGGAGGTGTATGGACATAGGTGTCTAACCCTGGAAAAGGTAAGACAGGCCTTAAAAATTAATGACCTTTAACAGTACTTTTTGTATCTACAATCTCCTGTGTGAACATGCTTCACGTTCACCGTGCCATTCATGCAGTTTTGCAATACACTTCAGGCATGCAAGGGGATAGGAAAGCTTGGTTTTTGTAATTTGTGCTTTGCAATGTATTGCCTGGTTTGTATTTCATATGGTTTTATTGTTAATAGCTATTTTGCAAATACACTGACAAAGGTTTTACTACAAAGAAAACGTTCCTAAGATTTATGGTGAACCAATTTTCTGAATTAATTCCTTGTATGATCAAAATGCACCACATTCCTTGTGCTAGATCTATACAAAGAGCTGCTCTGCACTTGTAAGGGCATCGTGTAGTGGTTTTTTTTGTTTTGTTTGGGTGTTGGGTTTTTTTTTTGTTATTGTTGTTTTGTTGAATTTACTCTGGGCTGGGGTTGGCATGTCATGGTGGATGAGGAGTTTGGGAGCAGGAGGGACAACCATGAAAAACCAATTGCTGTAGACCTAAAATATTGGCTGGTGGGGGTGGGTGTAATCTCTTCAGGGAACCAGAGGAAAGGGAGGCAGCATTTTCACTGTTTAGAGCCTGCCCAGCAAACTGAAAACTCAGAATGGGAAGTTTCTGCTCCATGAGGCAGTGTCCTGCAGGAGCAATAAAAGGAAAACATGGCTGTACATCTCCCTAGGCAATACAAAACACTTAAATGAAGAGCCCACACAGTGATGCTTGCCCTGCTCCGCAGTGTGGCCATACCCAGAGGGCTCTCAGGACAGTGGCCAACTAGTTTTGGGGCTGAGGGTCAGATTCTTGCAGCCCTTTTGTCTGGTAGCACCTTTGAAGCACAGCGCTCTTGGCTGCCTTGGCTGTCCCCTACTATAAGTCACAGGTGTTCTCTCCTTAGTCTCTTGTTTTGTTGTGGATGAGCACTGAGAAAGAGCTGGTTAATGCTATCCATCTCGTCAGTGTGTGAACAGGATGCTGGATGTGTTTTCTGGGTATCAGCAATTCATCTTTGCCTCTGCCTAGAGAGCAAGAAAACCTGAGAGCTTAGTATGGGGTTATCTGTAAGTATAATGGCTGGATACAGTACAGGGCTTGCTGGAAAAAGACGCCCCACATACTTGCCAGCCTTGTTAAGTCTGAGTGTTTGCAGATATGAGAGGCAGAACCCAGCAGCTCACTAGTGCTTGAATGGTGACATCTGGTGTGCGTGACCCAAGAGCAGGACTGATGGGCAAATAAGTCACAGGTGGTCACAACAGGGCACACAGCAGTATGGTGAAGTGTGCAGAACATCACCAAATGGAGCCCAGCAATGCTCACGCAGCTCTTCGTGATGACACAGGTCACCCTGACATAAAATAACTTCTGAGCACAGTGGGGCATAACCTCTGGAGCAACTCCTGAATTTATTCTGTAGATGCAAATCTTTTTACTCACCTGCAATTGGGTTCATACCACCCTAAAGACTGCTCTAAGAGAGGAGTAAATCTGAGCTGCGCACACGAGAAGCCAGCTGC